ATGATCTCATTTGTGAGTTCTCCCAGAGTTTGTCTGGGCTAGGAAATGTGAAAATTCATAGGGCAGTTGGGGAATCGCTTAGGATGTCAGGACTTAAAAATTGGTAAATAAGAGGAAAGGATTGTTTATCCTGCCTTTCCTGTATGAATGGTACCACTGAAGAGCCAAATAATAAGTAAAATTTTCTTTAAGACTATGTTAGCTGATTTGTAGAGAAGAAATGATAGAATATCACCAATTTGCAACTCATAATGAAATGATAGGTCCAGGCAATGATCATCAATGGCTGCTAAAATCACCCGAAGAAATATTCTTTTTTTTTTTTTTTTAAGATTTTATTTATTTTTCAACAGAGATAGAGACAGCGAGAGAGGGAACATAGCAGGGGGAGTGGGAGAGGGAGAAGCAGGCTTCCCACAGAGCGGGGAGCCCGATGTGGGACTCGATCCCAGGACCCTGGGATCATGACCTGAGCCGAAGGCAGACGCTTAACAACTGAGCCACCCAGGCGCCCCTGAAGAAATATTCTTGAAAAAAAAAAATTGAACCCAAGTTTGACCAAACCTCTGAGTACAACTGCTAACTTACAGAAAACATTGTCACTTTGGAATTGGCAAAAATCCATACTATAGGAAACTCTGGAGTACAATTATGTTTCTTCCACAAAGAGAAAGAAGAGAAATGCATCCAAAACCTTAGGTTAGGGGCACCTGAGTGGCTCAGTCAGTTAAGCGTCTGACTCTTGGTTTCCGCTCAGGTCATGATCTCATGGGTTGTGAGATCAAGCCCCACACCACCGGGCTCCGTGCTCAGATTGGGATGGGGGCGGCTCTTGAAGATTCTCTCCCTCTGCCCTCTTCCCCCAACCCCGCACACACAAGCACGCCTCTCTCTCTCTCTAAAATAAATCAATCTTTAAGAAAAACACTTTAGATTAAAAAATGCAAATCAGCCAATCAGAATATGTGGACCTGGTTTGGATCCTGATTTTTAAAGTAATTTTTTAAGAAATACAACTATTATGATGTTTATGAACAATTGGGGAAAAAAAGATCTTCTGACTTACCTTAAACTAACATTTCCCTTTAATCACACACATTTTGCCCTGTTCTACTCATCAGGGGCCCAGGTCAGGAGTACACGTAACCCACCTACCATTTGTCTAAATATCTAAAAAAATATTCTCTTAGCTGAGGTAATCACCTCCTCCCACAAAAAAAAAAAAAAAAATCCCAAACCTGGAACTTTGGACAAAAGCATGCAGGCAGGCAGTTTATTTGGGGAGTGATTCCAAGGAAGAGACATGGGGGTCTTAGAAGAGAAAACAAGGTAAGAAGGGAAAGCCACCCCAAGTGTATATTATCAAACTGATCACCACTCTGGGCAACTGGCTTGATCCTTCTAGGGCTTCTCCAAAGAGCCACGTAGAGTACCATTGAATTACCCTTCTGAGGAATAGAAGATGGGAATATTTACTGCTGATTCCTGAGTTCTGGAAGTCAAAGGTTGCCCAAGGGCGAGTTACCTCTCTAGCACTTCTAGTTTTGTACATGTGTCAGAATGGCATGAGCATCCTAGCATATGTTCTCTGGGGGAAGCAGGGAAGCCCCCAGGAAAGAAGGGGAGCAATCCACAGTGTAGCTGAGGCAAGGTGCTACTGGGTCACCGCACAGGCAACTGGTTGTCATAGCAATAGCTGGACTGAAAGATGGGCAGGAAGGATGTGAGGTAGAGAGCTGGAGATGACTGTGACAGAGACCAAGCTAGTACACTGTCAAATCAAACATGCCCTATCCTCTTACACTGACAAATCACTTTCGCAACGACTGGAAGGCCAGATTCAAATAGAGACTTCTCAGGCCCCTTTGAGTTCAGCCTCAGAATATGGTGGCATGGGAAAATTTGATCTCTGGTTCCCCATCCATGCCTTCCTCCTTCTTTGCTCAGTCCAGGTCTACCCCAGGTCACATGGGGTCTTTCACACACACGTGTGGACACCCCACAGCTCTGAGCTCTATTCACCCCTTCCTCCAAAGAGCTGCTCCTTGGCCATCTAGAGCTCTAGGGGAGTGCACACTGATGCCCTTCTCAGGAAAACAGACCTGGTAAGAGACCCAGGCAGGCCCTAGAACCAGTCCAGAGCCCCCTGAGCACAGTTTTGGGAGTCTTGGGCACCCAGAGCATAATCTAGAGCAGGGGGCAAGTCCGCTTGGCTTCATATTCTGTGGCTGGAAGAGAGTCAGAGTAGAGTCCTTTAAAGCCTGGGGTCCCGGGCAGGGACCCCTCCTGCTCAGGCCAAAAGGCAATGCCCGTTCTTTGCCACCCACTAACTTTACACTATCAGGTTCTGGAGTCATACAGAACTTCGTCAATCCTGGCATAGGCTCTAAGCAACATTACAGAAATTACGTACCTCTTCAGCTTCTTCACTTGTAAAAGGGCAGGAAAGGGGAGGCTATTTGAGGGTTAAAGGAGCAGTATTACACGAACACCTACCCTGTTTCTGGCATACAGTAGCCCTCCATAGCTGGTAGGTCTGTGAGGGCCCAGAAGTGCTGCCTCCATACAATAGCATCTGAGGCCAGGGTTTGTGCAGCTGAGGGGGGCTGAAGGAAGGGACACAGGCTGGAGGCAATGAACTTTCTCTGGTGCAACTTTCCTGGAAATGTATAAAAAAGAATAATTTGATTGATTTTCTGCAGAGTCCTAAAGCTTTTTTAAAACTTGCTCTAGATCCCACTGGACTGTAAGCTCCCTGAGGACAGAGATGCATATTCTTCTCTGTAAAACCCTAGCTCTTTGCGTATTGTCTCACACATAGTAAGTGCTTAGTAAAAAAGCACTGGGTGAATGATTTCAAATTGGGCTTATTGCCTTTAATGGAAGACATTTATTTCTTATGTTGGCTCTAAGGTTTCCATAGACATCTCAAACTGGAAGCATTCTCTTTCTCAAACCTGCTTCTTCCCCTAGTTCCCTGCCTCAGTGTACAGAACCATCAATGCCCCAGACCAGCAGTCATGCATCATGCTCAGTACTGCCCTCCTCATCACCCTATAATTTATACCTGATTAATTACCATGTCCCAATGGTTATATCCATTTAGTAGTTTTTTAACTTATCTGATTCATTACCACAAACCTAGTTCAGGCAACTATCCTCTCTCTCTTGAGATACTGCAGCATTTAGCTGCTCACCTCACACCAACTCATGTTCCCGGAATATGTCCTCCTCAGTGCAGCCAGAATGGTCTTTACACATTGGACCACATCTCTGCTGGGCTCAGGGTAAAGCCCAAGCTCCTTAACATGGCCTGCAGGACCCTCTGGTATCCATCATTTGCCCTACTAGACTATAAGATCCTTGAAAACGGTCTTTATCTTATATTTCTTTTTGCTCCTGTGATCAGCCAGATACTCATCGTTGCATAAATGAGTAAAGTTTTTAAAATCAAAACAATTTTTGATCTCTTGAGAAAAGCATAAAATTTAAACCATAGACTTAAATTATCAAACATCAGAGATGAACCAAAACCTATGAGCAAACAACTGCCCCTGAGTAAACTCATGGTGGGTTGGCCGTGGTGAGCAGGAACTACATCCAGGCTTTGGTGCAGTATTCTAGGTTCCTTGCACTCTCCTTCCTTTGGATATGGAATTAATTTAGTCTTGGAGTGAGTCACTGGACTATTTCTAGAAATCACCATCTTTCTCTAGAGTGGTCTCTACTGACATCTGACATACTCAAGCCATGTGACTGCTCAAGAGAGCCTATGTTTGTCTGTTTAAGAGAAACTGTCCTCAGGGATTCATCTTCTGCCTGGAAGGTTTTGATTAAGGATGAGGGAACTGGCCAATCTTTGTGTTCATCACACCAGCCCTGTGCTCACATCAACTTTCTTTTCTCATCAGTCATAGGGGCACCTTCCAATGTTTGCTGAAGGTAGAGTATTCAGGGTCTGATTTCTAGCACCAGGATCATGCCATCAACAGGTTTTACCTATTTCTTTGCTTGAACAAGATGCTTAACATCTCTGAATCTCAATTCAGTCATCTTTAAGTGGGGGTAAAAATTGTAAATATCTGATGAGGTTATTATGAGGATTAAATGAGATGCAGTGTGTTTTGAGTATAATATCACATTGTAAAGGTTTTATGAATGTCAAGTATTGTTTGTTTTTTTAATGCTTTGATTTAAAATGGGATTTGGGGGAGCTACTAAAACATGTGAAAAACTGTAAGATAAAAATAAGTAAATGAGAAAACCAGAGTCAAGAGGAACATCACATCATTCCACAGAATCATGAGGATTTTAGCTTTCTTATATCAAATACCAACTTGGCCAATCATTCATTCATTGGCTGGATCATCATTTAACTTTGAGCAGCTCTTCGGTATGGAGTGAAAGACCTTGCTTGTGCTTCAGTCTGGGAAGAAGAACCCAAAGATACCCAACTAAAACACGAGAGGGAGACAAACTATAAGAGACTCTTAATCTCAGGAAACAAACTGAGGGTTGCTGGAGTGGGGGGGGGTGGGAGGGATGGGGTGGCTGGGTGATGGACATTGGGGAGGGTATGTGCTATGGTGAGCACTGTGAATTGTGTAAGACTGTTGAATCACAGACCTGTACCCCTGAAACAAATAATACATTATATGTTGATATATATATATATATATAAATAAAAATCTATGGGGATAATAGCATCTGCCCCATAGGGATGCTGTGAGGATTAAATGATCTTTGTAAAATGCTTAGAACGATGCCTGGCACATAGTATTTACTCAATAAAAGTTACCTATTATTAAAAAAAGAAAACAAAACAGTGTAGCTGGAACTATGGGAGAAATGGAAGAGGATATGTGTGCCAGGGCGTGCCTGGGGAAATAGCCCTTACCTACAATGAGCTGGGTTTGCAGCTGCTTCCCCATCCTGATGTGATCTGCTTTGTGTTCACATTTCAGCAACCACCCCGGGGCTGAACGTGACAAAGCAAGAAGATGGCCAAGATTAACACCCAGATCTCTCACCCTGCGGTAAGGACCACAGACAGAGAGCTTGACCACGTGGAAAACGGCCTCAGCAGGTAAGATGGGCTTTCCATTTTATGCCCGTAAAATGAGTTGTTCCCATAGCTGATCTAGACTGTGGGGTAAAGAATGCCTTAGCCTGTGGCCAACCACAGGTTGGAGGGTGCGGGCTATTCACAGAGATCCTTCTGACTTCACTTATTTCATCTCACTTAAGCCTCACAACCCACTGAAGTAGTTTTTATTCTCATTTTAGAGAGGTGGAAAATGAGGCTCAAAACATTATGTAACTTCTAAAAGGTAACAAAATGAAGATTCAAATACAGCAAATTAAATTAAGTTTACTGTAAAAACTTCTCCAAACTGCCATACTTTCCTGGGTACACATCAGACATTTATTGGTCTACAGAGTCCAATAAATGCACCAGCCATTGTCCTGGGCTCTAGGGATGTAGTACGAATCAGATGCTCAGTCCCTTGCTTCCAGTGGAAGGTCAGGATTCACACTGTGCTCATGGTCTGCAAAGAGTAGGCTGTGCCTTGCCAGTGAAGCCAATTGCCCCATCAATGACATCCCCACACAGGCAGCCATAAGGAAATCTGGGCCTTGAGTTCTACTTCTAGCCCTGTTCGTAGCTTACTAGTAGACTGGGGAAAAGCCACTTAATCTCCCATGCCTTTCTTCAACTGCAAAATGGAGCAGCATCTTTTCCAAGCTCCTGGCACAATGGTGAGGAAGTGGGAGCGTACCTATTTGGTGCAAATGGACTTACATTTTTATGTTTCTTAAATTCTCAATGAGTTGATTGAATTGAACCATGAGAAACTTTATTTCCACTGAAAACTTCTCCCTCCCATGATAACGGCATATTATCCAATGACCATAAACTGCTATGACAGTCCCTCAGTGCTCACATCCCTGGTATTGGGCCCTCATCCACCATTTATGCTCAGTTACTAGTGTATATCACTTCTTCTTTCAGATGCACATTTGGTTTTTTCTGTCCAGATTCTTGGTCCCACTCCTTAGCTAACTCAGCTCATGAGTGATGGACAACAATTTCCAAAGAGATTGAGTCCCTGTAACTACAAATTTATGTAGCCCTAGGACCCCACCTTTGGGGATTTCAGGCAAAGAGAGGAATATCTTAAAGCATTCCAACAGATATTTATTGCCTCCAACCATTTTAACATGGTGCTGGAGGCCCAGGAATTTTTGATATGACTCAGGGCCATCAGAAATTCTCATTCTACTCAAATTTCTCCCTCCCAACTGGCTTACTGTCAATACCGCTGTCCCACCACTGGGGACTTATTCCTTTAGGTTAAGTCATTGCCCCTAATTTAAAAGAAAAAAAAGAACACTCTTAGGACAGATATCTGCTATTAAAACTTTTGTATGCATGAATAGCTTCTTTTTCATATCTGTGCTAATAAACCTCTTGGGGCAGGGTGTTCAAAGAAGATTGGGGTGGAGGGGAGAACAGGTCCAAGCATGGGGCACAGCAGTAAAGTGAAGCTCCCTGGGCAACATTGGGCTCCTGGGACCTTGGGCCCAATGGGAGAAGGACAGAAGCTGTTAGAATCAAGAATTTGAAGCAAAATGGACCTTTCCCCCATTGCTCCCTTTTGTCTTGAGTGGGACATCATCGGAGCCTCTCATGGACCTTTCAGACTCCCTGGGGCTAAGAACAACAGGGTCTTAGTCTGGCTCTTTACAGTTAGATACTCAAGAAAAGGAAGGCCCCGTTGGTGGGCTGGGGCTCCTGCCCAGAATGCCTGCTTGACCGGACACCACCATGGTCCATCTCTGCCTGATTTGTCCTGGCTCTGCCTCAGCCAGTGGCTTACAAGTCCAGCCTGAGGCATGGGCTGTTCAAGAGAGCTCACTGGGTCTCCTGGAAGATGACCCTTTGCAAAATAAATTGCTAGCTCAATTTAAGCCACATGGACCCCAGCGATGGGCGTCTGGCTTCCAAGAGACTCTGTGGGCTCACGCTGGGTTTATGCACACTCGGAGGGTCGGTCAGCCACAAAGTCAGGGGCTCTGAATTGATGCCCTTCGACAATGCTATTTACCATCTTCATGGATGGGAAGAAGCCCTCCACTCTCCCTCCTACCCCCCATCTCCTGACCAGCGTGATGACTAACAGGCTCGGGGTCAGGCTGGCTGGGTTTGAACATTGGCTCTGCACCTGACCAGCTCTGAAAAGTTGTGCAACTGCTCCAGACTGCACTTTCCTCCTCTGCCCAGTGGACTAGTACTGACCTCAGGGGGCTGTAGTGAGGTTAAAACAGGTGAATGCTCTCAGCACCGTCCCTGCTGTGTGGAAAATGTTCAGTCAGTGCTCACTGTCAGTCTTGGAAATGAGTCTCCCTCCTGTGTGCCTTCCCTGGCGTCCCAGGCTGGAAGCCTTCTCCTCCTCTGACCTCAGATAGTTCCAGCTGTCCTGACATCTGGATCTGGCCATTTCCTGCCTGTAACCAAGTCATGCTTTCTCAGCCTGACCACTAGTCTGGTCTCACTGAGCCTCACTTGCGGCCTTGCCCAACCACTCTCGTGGTAAAAGCTTGTTGACAGATTAATATAGAATCCCATGGAGACACTATGGAGATTTCAAAAAGAGAGAGAAAAAGAATGCTTCCTTCATGAGACAGATGTTTGCTTTATCTTATGGAGGCAGGACTGGGTTAACAGATGGAAGTTTCTAGAATGGGTTCCTTGGCGTTACTAAGGACTGAGCATGTGTGTTCAGGCTGGGGGATGGAACAGCCTTGGGCCAGAGGCCAGGTCCAGGCGCCTCCTCTGCTTCCAAGCACAGCCCAAAATCTGTCTAAATACAGACTAGTTTCCCCTATAAGATTCATTTGAACAGGGACTCTGGCTTGTACACACAAAATTTTTAAAGTTTCAAATCACTGTTTTAGGGGAGGAAATGGTGTTTGAATAAACCATAGATCCTCGCTTTAAAATTCAAATCCTTTTAGGGGCACCTGGCTGGCTCAGTTGGTAGAGCATGTGACTCTTGATCTCAGGGTCATGAGTTCGAGCCCCATTTTGTGTGTAGAGATTACTTAAATAAACTTTTAAAAAATAATAAAAAAACAAAATTAAAATCCTTTTAGAAAGCATATGGGAGAAGTAATTATGAGGGGTTTTCCTTACATATTAATAATTCTTTGTCCTCAATGATAGCAAGAAACTGCTAGTAGGAACCTGTGTGTCACTGTGACCTTTGCTGAATGGCCCCAGGAAGGAGGAGATATCATGTCCCCATCCCCTGAGACATCCCTGTCCCGAAATCTTTCACCAAATTAGAGAGCCAGGTTTCTGTTTCTCCTTTTTTAAATCATTGGGATCACTTTCCTGGTGACAAACCATAAGGAAAGATGAAAACATTGCGGGAAGGAGCTCTGTGAAATGAAAACATTTCATTTGAGCATGTTTTGTTCATTTGAAAAAAAAGTCAAAACGTTGGAAATACCAGAAATAAAATTGTCTTTAATTTTTCTTTTCTATTTAGATCTGTTTAGTTGACTTGATTATTTAAGAGCAGTCTGGCATATTTGAAAAGATAATGCAGTAGGGAAAGACTTCAGAATCTGCGACAGAGAATTACCGTGAGGACCGAGGGCACCTCAAATCTCAGATCAATCTCTTGGTGTAGCTATTTTAGGCGAGCTTTGGGGCACCGGGGTTTGTGTCCTACCGAAGAGAAGCCTTCTTCATCCTGCTCTCTGAGCAGAGCCCAAAGCAGTTATCACCAAAGAACACCATTTTCAGCCTGCTTCCCCAGGACCGAAGACAAAAATGCACTCACTTCGGTTCCCTGGTCACATGTGGCCAATGGCAGTGCCTGTGGGTCAGTCAAGTTCCTCAGGGCTGGAGAGGAGGAAAATAAAACAAGGTATGATCATCGCCTTGCTCTCAAAGGTTTTGTTTACTCTTATGTCTCCAAAGTCACCAGAGGAAGATACCAGGTTCTCTGCAAAGTGCAAAGCTGACGACAAGTTGCCATTCTGATGAGCACCCCTGTCTCTTCCCAGGGACAGGGGAAACGTTTACCTCACAGACACGAAGTTCCTTTTTATAAGAAAACTTAGAAGATGAGCATCACAAGTTGAAAATTCCCTTCTCCTTCGAAAACAGCCACATCATTGTGTTGTGCCGGCTGCTCTTTTTCTTGCCAATCGCCAACTTCACCGAGCTCCTTCCTGCAAAGCCATCATCACACTGCCTACAGTCGGCGTCCGCAAATGGGAGGGCAGCTTCGGGGTTGTTCTTGCCCCAGACCCCTCCTCCAGCTCCCAGCAGGATGGAGCCTGGCCCCCCATCTCTCCTGCCTCTGTATTTCTCTGGGAGGTTCTGGATCCCCATTCTTCCATTGGTTGCCAGAAGTGGCTCCCTTTTTCTCAATACCTGTGGGTCCTCAGGGACTCAAAGTGTCACCTCAGACATCTGGCTCTTCTCTCTTCCCTTCTTCTCTTCCATCTGCTGGGTAAAATCAGTTTCTCAGTATTGATTGAGTCCCTGTATAACTAATTGGGTTGACTGAGGAATAACTAATTGGGTTGACTAAATAGCCCCACTCATTGAACGAGGGTAGAGACTTGGGAGCTAGAAGACATCAGAGAACTTCAAGCATCAAAAAAACAAGTGGGAGAAGAAAAGGCCTGCTTGGGTCCCTTAAACTTACTTCCTAGAAGGCTTTCCCTATTCTTCAGAGTGAAATGTGCCTTTTCTGGACTTGGCTGTTTGAGCAATACTTAAGTCAATACTAAATCACCAATTTTTCCTTTAGTTCCTTTTTGAAGACTACAAAACTTCAGGGAGGGTAAGTGACCAGCCCACAGAACACCTAACTAATAGGTGTTAGGATAGGGATTCGAACCCAGGCCTCCTGGCTCCCCACTCTGCCCCTGCCCTTTGAGCGAGTGTCCCAGACCCAGCCCCCACATGGGAGCCCTCCCCGCTGCCAGGAGCAGGCCTGCTTTGGAGTCTGGGGTGGGTTTTGCCCTCCTCACATCCTCATCAGCTCTGATGTCATTGATTCTTTTGCTATTAATGCAAATAAATCTGTTCTCAGGATGTGTCCTCATGTAATTAACAGAAAGCAGACTGGGCAGAAATGCTGGGCCGGCTTCTTGGTGCCCAGAGCTCCGTGAGGAACCGCTGGTGGGGACAGAACACCTTCACCCTTGGGATTGCCCCCGGATCTTCCGGGCACACATGCCGTGATGGAGCTGCAGCCCAGCTGTCGGTTGCTGCACCCCTAACCCCACCACACACGAGCTGCTAGGATCCAGGGACTAGAGATATGGACTCACTCACTTACATCCCGCTCTCCCTCCTCTAGGAACTGCCCAGGGTGCCTTGGAATGCACATTCTATCCTCATAGTATACAGATTATTAGAAGGGCTAGGGGATCAGAGCTTCCGAACTGCAGCGGGCCCTCTGGCAGGGTTTCCCATGAGTCTAAGGACGAAAAACATGAGTTTTTCCAGAGCCACGTCTAGTGGCATACCACAGGGCTCAGTCCTCAGCCATGTCCTGTTAAACTTTTGCTTTAATCAGTGCCGTATGTGAAAATACAGAGAGCAGCTTCATAGAGTGGAGGAGAGCAGGGTTTTTTTTAAAAAAGATTTTATTTATTTATTTATTTGACAGAGAGAGACACAGCGAGAGAGGGAACATAAGCAGGGGGAGCAGGAGAGGGAGAAGCAGGCTTCCCGCTGAGCAGGGAGCCCAGTGTGGGACTCGATCCCAGGACCCTGGGACCATGACCTCAGATGCTTAATGACTGAGCCACCCAGGGGCCCGAGAGCAGGCTTTGACATGGGATGGAATGACATTCAAATCTCCGCTTTGCCACTTGGCCGTATGATCTTGGGGAAGTTATTTAACCCCTCTGAACTTCAGTTTTCTCTCTTATGCGGTGGTTATGTGGATTAAATGATAAGATCTATGTGGCTGGCATTTAGTAAACAGTTAATAAATGGCCTATGGTTTGTGTATTGCATGTGAACCAGATGGAGCTGGGAGGAAAGACTAGCATGGCACCACTGCATACCGAGGGTCCCAAAACATCAAGTGGCTCAGATAAATGGAAAGTCCAAAACTTACTTCCAACAAACCATTTGTACATGCACAAGATAGGACCTTCTGTCTTTTTTTTTTAAGAGCCTAAAGCGTAAGCTCTTTTCTTTTTTTTTTTTAGATTTTATTTATTTATTTGAAAGAGAGAGAATGAGAGATAGAGAGCACGAGAGGGAAGAGGGTCAGAGGGAGAAGCAGACTCCCTGCTGAGCAGGGAGCCCGATGAGGGACTCGATCCCGGGACTCCAGGATCATGACCTGAGCCGAAGGCAGTCGCTTAACCAACTGAGCCACCCAGGCGCCCAGGCGCCCAGGCCCTTCTGTCTTAACAGCAGCCCGTGTTATAAGACTGGGTTTTGGCTGATGGTAGTTGGTGATAGGGACACCAAAAGCCCACAAACTCACAAACCTACAATGACCTCTGGCTTGGGGTCCAGTAACAACAGAGTGGTCCTGGTCTCCATGCCCAGCCAGGCAGGAATGCAGGAACCTGCTCACAGGAGCACGGCCATGATGGGGAAGAGCCTTGAACCTGATGAGGCGTGGCTGGGTGAGCTGGGGGATTCCAGCCTGCAAAACCAGGTGTGACACAGGTGTGAGAGCTGTCCCTTCGTGTCCCATATACATGAAAGTGGTCATGGAGAAGATGAAGCGGCCCGCCTCTGTGTGGTTCCAGCACAAAATAAGAAGTAGCCTTGGTCTGAGGAAGCTGAGGGATGGAAGAGCCCACTACGAAGATGGCCCAGCTGGGCCATGGGACGATAGTGAGCGCCCTGTGGCTGGAGACGGCAGGGATGTTGTAGAAAGAGAAGTCAGCAGATCTGCAGCTGGGATTCAGGGCTCTGCCTTCCAGTCCCTCACTGAGGAGAGAGAGCCTTTTCCTGACATTAATTATTGCTTACTTCCTCAACTGTGTTGCCACCTGGTTAAGAAGGCTGATTAGGTTGGAATGGATCACGTGATGGAATTAATTTGTCCTGCCTGGGCTCTTCAAGACTCATAGAATGAAGTGTAAATCCCTAGGGGTCAAGGCCTGGATGGCTTTTAATCAAGCTGATCAAATTTTTTAGCCCTAGGAGATTTTAAAAGAGGGAACGAAAGGAAAATATACCCAAACACGTTGGTCTTATTCTGGGCAGTTCAACAAACACCAAGGCTCTGCTGATGTGACTGGTGCTCATATCGAGCCGTGGGCACCTGTCCTATTTGCGCTCATGCTCTTCGCCCTGAATTGCACAGGCAAGGTCACTTGCCCAGCCCCCCACTGCAGGGGACAGACGTTAGGGTTTGACAAAAGGGCACAGTGGAAATGAATTTTCATGCGAAATCGCTGTACAAATGCACGTGGAGGGCTAGGCCAATTCCATACGATATTCTAGGACACCCCTCTTAACCAAATACCGAATGGGCTCCTGGGAAGGCTGCCAGCCGAGCACACAAATACCTGCCCAGGTAGTGTGACTGTGGTGTACCTACAGTCTGGCCTTAGCAGATAGGATTTCAGTATGCAGAATGGTGTTTGAACCAGAATTCTTGTTCTGGGATCACTGTGCCGAAACAGCTGCTGTGGTTCCTGATGGTGGGCCCTGGGACACCCCCACCCGGCGCTTGGATGAGGACCGTGTGCTGCTGGCCTGCACCCTTAAGTCCACGGGCAGTGGCTGGACAAGCTACCTTCCGGGGTCAGGCTTGCTGTAAAAGAAAGGCCATGTTTATCTTAAAAGCTGGGATCTGCTGGATCTTGGTGGAGCACGGACTGACAGAGTGAAGACCAGTGCCGGCGGCTTTCCTCATTAAGCAGGACATCTGGCCAGCTCATCCCTGAGTGTGTCCAGGAGGGAATGAGCTTGAAATCAATTTAGCCTGCTGCATATTTGATTTCCTAGGGTCCACTCGCCAAGTGAGGAGACTTCGTCAGAACTGCAGCAGGAGATCGCCATGGAGACCAGAGGACTGGCAGAGTCCAGGCGAAGCTCCTACACCAGCCAGGGGCCCGCTAGGTAACCGATCAGGCTCAGAGCTCTCCTTGGGAAGAGGGAGACCGAGGCAGGAGGAAGGTAGATGAGTCTCAGGAAGAAATGGGGGGAGGGCGCGGGGGACGGTGGTGGAGGTGGAGTTGAAGATTTGGAGAAGAGCAGTCAGAAATCTATCCCTGAGTACTATCCTCTCAGGTCAAGTGTTCTGAGCTGAGAAAAACCTAAGAAAAACTGCTGTTATCTGGAATTGCTTTCATATAAAGTGATATTGAGGTACTTGCTCAAGTCTGGAAGAATTTAGAAAAAAGCCAACCAGGAAGGGTTCCAAAAAGAATTGAGAAACAAGACCAGCCAGCCGCAGGAGAGCACTGGTGGACTTCGTGGTGCGCAGATGGCCCTAGGGACACTGTCACGATAGCCTCTGGCAGGCCCTCTCGGGTGCATAACTCACGTCCTTGCAAAAGGATTTGAAAGATTACCCAGGCTCTGAGCTGATGACATCTGCACTTGGCTTCGAGAGCGGTGCCACCTTGAAGAAGTCATCTTACCTTTCCAGATCTCATCTGGAGACGCATCGAACAACGTGAGGCCGGCATCAGAGCCAAGTGTTGACTCACGACAGGTGCTCAACAAACGTGGGGCTTGTTATTTCCTTCCACCACTTTTTTTTTAAACCAATGCTGTAGTTTTATATAGACACGTGTTCTGAAGTTTTTGCTTAAGATTATTACAAAAATCAATTCCTCTAGTTATTCTTCATATTTTTCATTGCAGAGGAATGTTTGTTTCACTAGCCCCTTGTAGCTGGGCATTTCCATGATTTCCGGTGTTTTTGTCTTACTAATGAAATGCTGTCTTAGGGCTCACTGACCCCAAGGAAGAGGACAGCTTCACACCAGCCCACATTGAAAGTCCTGGGGGAGGGCCGAGGCAGGAGGCTGGTACAAGCTCAGACAGACCGCCTCACGGAAAGGGAGCCAACAGGGCTCATGAGAGGGGAGCGGGGGAGGCACCTGCCCTCTCCCTCTCATTTTCTCCTGGCATGTCATGATCTTTGTGATTTTTTTTTTTTTTCCCTGCATGTCTCCTCTGTTTCCGGCTTTCTCTGTTCACACATCAGCAGGCACAGGCTGAAAATGCCCTTTGCTATCCGATCTTGAGTGGAAACACCCAATGCCATCTTGGAGTGGTTTTTAGTTCAGAGGCTTGAGTGACTCTCTGTGGGTGTCTTGTCCATTCCTGGGCCTGTCGGCTGAAGCTGGAGTGGGGAGCGTGACCTTGCCTCCAGCCCCTCAGCAGCGGGAGGGTGGGGGCGGGAGGAGTGTCCAGAGCAGAGAGGCTGGGCTGGACAGGCACCTCCGCGTCTGTCTGCAGGAGCGGCTGTCAACATCTCTGTGCGTGGAATGTCTTCTTGCTTTAACTTACTCTCTTAGGCAAAGTTCCCAAGTGTGTGATTAGGGCCAAGGCACACGACAGCTCATGATCTTGTTCTAGACTGCTCAGAACTTATTTGATTGAGAACAGTGGCATGCACCGTAGGTGCCAAGTCAGGACAACCAGATACCAAGAAGCAGAGGTCAGGCTCTCTTCTCATTCCCCTCTGGAAGAGACAGGGAAGGCAGGAGGCAGGGCTGAGGGAAGGCTTCTCATGGAAAGCTGGAGCTAAGATGGGCTCTGGGGACATGGGCTGACCAGTCTCAGGTGCTTGCGGCCCTGGCAGGGTCTGGCTCCAGGAGACAGGTCAGCACAACTTGCCAAGGAACTTGTGTACAAGCCTGGGGAGGAAACAAGAGTGTGTATAACAAACAATAAGACAAGGGTTAGGAAAATAATCTAAGTTGTATCTGGGCACTTGTTCCTTTAAACCTTGTTCTAAATTTTATCACCGTTTGTGGATTGGATTCTTTTCTATTCCTATGCTTACCAGTCATAACAAAGAGCTCTACAAAAGGAATGATGAGCAGAAAAGCTGCTAATGCCCCATTTGAAGGATCATGCCTTTGGCAGAGTCCAAGTGTTAAAAGGACAAAGTTATAATGAAGACCATGCCCTTTATCTAGAAAGCTCTGTCCCAGATGGCAGGTTCTGGAGGAGAAGGGAATAAGGCCCCAGCAGAGAGGAGATGCACACCTGAGCCCAGGGCCCCCAGGGCCCCCAGGACCCATGTCCTGCCAGTCATCTCTGCTTCCGCCTCCGCCCTGGAAAAGAGGGCTTTCCATCTCCTTCCTCTCTGCACTGGCTGCCTGTCCATGTCCTTCTAGGATGTCTCGCCTGATCATATCACTGCGAGCCTGGACTACCAGGCACTTACACCATGAGGCCCAGAGAACAGACTCCTTCCTGGAGCGTTTCCATGGAGCTGAGCTCAAGGAGGTGTCCAGCCGAGAAAGCAATGCCCAGTCAAATGTGGGCGGCCAGGAGCCACCAGACAGAGGAAGAAGGTAAGGAACCAAAGGGATGAGCCACCCACACCAGGCGGGGGTGGGGCAGGAAGCACTGCTTTGCTCCTGCAGCTTAGATCCACTGTGTGGGTGGCCTGGAGCACCAGCCTCGTGACCTTGAAGAAGGTGTCTGGGGTGGGGGAGTACTGCATGCTCTAACAGTCACCGCCCCGAGTGCAAGAAGGACTGCAGGAGCGGAAACCCTCTAACCAGAGTCCCCAGCCTCCTTTGACCCTGCACAGAGTTTCCATCAGCGCCCCCTGGAATTGGTGCTCTCAAATGCATCTGGGGATGCTGGCCTCACCCATCTCTCTCCATCAAAGGACCCTCATCCTAGATTGCACTGTGACCCACCTTACTAAAAACCAGGGACTTTAATTGATAAGCCTTGGGAGTACCTAAATGGTACCCATAATTTTATGCATAGGTTTACATACAATCTTCTGGGAGGAAGGTCTGAAGGTTGGTCAGAATGTTCAAGAGGAGCCATCCATATCCCAGATCAGGATAGGAACTATGGGGGTGGGGAGTGTAGGTGGGGTAGGGTGGGGCGTGGGGAGAGTGTTGGCTTTTTGGTAGGAGAAGGGTCTGCAGAACAAGGGCTCTGAGCATCTTCATGCATGCCCCACCACCTGACTGGGGGCTGTGGCTGGTGCAGACATTTGAGGGAAATCTGCAGGTGCTGACTTACAGCGCCCCCCCCACACACATCCCATACACAGAGCTGCTGCCTCACCTCCTCTCTTGTTCTTGGGAAGTCTCCCCAGCCTGTGGTCAGCAGGGAGACCACTGGGCCACCACAGGTTGAATCCAGTGACACTGAGCGACAGAAGTCTCTTTAGGACCCTCTAGGCAGTCAGAGAGGAAGAGAGGTAAGGTATGGAGGGGGAAGCTGATCACCTCTGAGCCTCTCAACAGGAAGCCTCTTGCTCAGAATATGCTTTCTGAAAAAAGGGGGCTTAGAAAGATCTTTTGGCTGAATTCTCTAGGTAGGGCCAAGATTTATAAGATGTAAAGGTGAAAACAAGCATGGTTGTTGCCGAGCAGGTGGTCCTTATATAATTGCTAGAGAAAATCCTTCGTGTTTTTGTGTCAAATGAGCAGAAGAAGGGCTCAGGTGTGAGTGGCTCAAACAGGCATCCAAGGGCCCCTGGGGAGGGAACGTCATGCAGCCTCAGAGGAAGCAGGATGGATCTTCCGGGTGCTTCCATTTTGCTTCCATGTTTGTATGTTTGTGTTGTAGGCTTATTGTAGATTACGCAGTAGATTGCAAAATATACAAGCATATTTAAGATAAAATATGAGAGTTCAAGGAAATTTCTTGCTAGCAACCACTCTAGGAGAGGAACATTTAGTCTCCCTGCTGGGAAAGGCACGGGAATTGCTGGCTGAGATGCAAAGGCCTGGCATTTTCGGGCTCACATTTTCACCTGGTCTTGGACCACAAAACCTCGGGCTTTCTGGGCTTGGGAAGGGACCGCGGAGGGCCTGGGTGCTGGTGGGGACGTGTGCAGGGCCACCCCAGGTTCCCAGGGCCAGGCATCCTAGACCGAGAGGGGGCTCCATGACTATAAGGCCTGTGTGCTGTTGGCTGCTGAGCCAGAAAGGAAGGAGGGATGGCAGATAAGGAAGAAGAGAAGACAGAGGAGGAGGAGGGGAGAGAGGTTTGCTACTGAGCCGGCCAGATTGCTTCAGTTCCTGGTGGGCAAGCAAAGACTTCTTTGCTAACATGATCAAATTATCTTCTCTACAAACTTAGCCTAATGAAGATGAACATTGGCTTCTTTGTCCATTTCCCAGTGTGACCAGATGAGCAGAGGGTTGAGCTAGGAGCCCATCAGGGTCAGGTCCCAACTCTACCTCAGACACCTGGTCACTCACCTGAGGGTTCAGAGTGGGTAGGTGCATGCGATGGTGCAGGATGGTGGCTGATCAATCAGGGAGGCTTCCTGAGGGAGGAAGGCTTAGGATTTTCCAGGCAAATCCCATTGGCAGAGCAGAATGTATGCAAAGACAGGTCTTGGTTATTCTGTTGGTTTGGCCTTCAGAGACCCCAGACACAGAGATGTGGTAAACACAGGCCACTACATCGCAGGGAGCTACACTTTCTTTCCCAATTTCACAGGGGTTGGGAAATTCCTCGGGGCACTTTCTCATGATCAGAACCTCTCCCAAGACAGTTAGAGCCACATCCTGGATGGTGAGAAGGAGGGAAACTTGAGCAGGGGTGAGCAGAAGTACCAGAATGGCATTTGGCTCGATGTTTAGCATCATAGAAGAGAAGAGGCTCCCTGAGAGCCAGGCAGGAGTATCACCAGCCAGCGGCTTTGGTCCTGGCTGTCCTCTGTGAATGGTCTGCAGTGACGATAGGCAACTTGAGGCCACGCTGGCTTTCTTAAACTAGCTGTGTCAACAACACATGTATTAGCAACCAAGCCCTAGGAGATAATGCCTTTTCCTAGAGAACACCAAGAAGGAGGACTGCACGATTCAGCTTTAAATAAACGTGCAGTTGGGTGCACAACCAGCCTCCACTCTCTAACCAGTTCTTACAGAGACCAGGGTGGCGGGCTTGGAAGTGTTAAGATTAATGTGGGGACAAGGGCCCAGGGCAAGATAGACTCAAAACTGGGACAGTTCTGTCCACGTGGGGTCTATTTTTCGCCCCGCAAGTCAAGTCAGATGCAGCTGCTGTGATTGCGTTTTCAAGGTGGGGGGAGGGCGCCTTCTGAGAGCCCTGCCCGCACAGATGAGGGGGCAGGTTGCTGCGGCTGCTGAAGGTGCTCAGCTGCTTCATCTGAGTGCACCCCCGAGGGCAGGTGCAACTCAGCTTCATGTCTGTGCTCCTCATAGCTCCTGGCACACTGCCCGGCACATGGTTTAAACTGAATGAAATTGAGTGGAACGCGAGGCTAGGATTGGGTGGGATTCACATAGCAACTCTAGTTTATTCAGAAGACTCAGTTTAGCCAAAAGTTCATCCTCTCTTCCCACAAGGCTTTACTACAGCTAACCAGTCACAAAAAAAATGTTTGTTCTGGATGCTTCAAGCTGTGTGGAAAGGCCCAGGGCACAGGGGATGGGGTACCGGGATAACCACCTAGGGCGAATGATCCCCAGCAGTTGGAACTGAGCTCAGATTCCCATGCTGCATTCTGTTTACTTCCCTGCAGTGGCTGGCCCCTGGCCAGAAACCACACCAACACCTGCAACAACTCAGAGGAGTGAGTACCTCTGCTCCCCAGCAGAGTCCCCTCGCTTTCCCTGGTCCCACCGGCCACCTTCCTTCCCGTAGATGCCCCGGCTCCGCCTCCCTGCTCAAACACGTCTGCTTCCTGGGACACCGCTAGACTAGAATCCCGTTCCTTTCATCCAAATACTGTCCCTGTGGACAAATGGGGAAGGGAGCTGGTCCGTATGACTTCTTGGAGCAAGTCATGTTCTCTCTTCCCCTCATTTTTCTCATCTATAATGCAAAGGGGTTGAATTGCATAAATGTCTTAAGCCTTGACATCTTCTATTGCTACGTATTTGAGGGTGCAAACTCTGAGTTCCTTTACAGAGCTGTGCATATTCTCCTTCATGATGAGAATGCATTTTCCTTTCTACGACCTCAAGCTCCAGGGGGTCCCAGTGAAATGCCCTTGTCCTAAGGCCAATCCAGGCCAATTTGGAGGGTGTGATCCGGACAGTGGGAAGAGGAAAATTAAATATTTCCAGAGACTAGCCTCTTGAAATGGTGACCTGCTGTAATTACTTTTTATCACCAGATGTTGAGCTGGCAGATCAGTTTGAGGTATGATTCTGGCAAGTGCCACTCAAGCATCCAGGGAGGGTGTGTGCATGTGTGTGATCTTACACGTGTGTTAGCACGCGTGTGTGTGTGTGTGTGTATGTGTGTGCGTGCACACCATTCTCCAGCCTTCTTTATGGAGTACCATGAGGGTAGGCACGGGAGGAAGTCTCAGTTGGAGCTTAGGGAAAAAACCATCAATAATCAGCAAGAAATCTGAATTTCCTGACTTCCATTTGAAAGAGAAATGTGCCAAGACTTTTTCTTATTTCCCTTTGTTCCTTGGAAAGAAGTTTTTCCCATTTCCCTCCATGAAACTTAGTTGCATTTTGTTTGCATAAATATCGATATCCAATCCCGAGACTCAAATGCCAGCAGTCAAGATAAATGAAATTATTTAATCTGCGAAACAGCAGCTATTGTGATATTGCTTGATCTAAAGCCAAGCTTGATATTAAACACCCTTGAAACCCTGGTGTTGGGTCCTGCAATCTGAGAAAGGCTCAGGGCACTGGAAAGCATGGACAGAGGTCCTGCGGGTCTCTAGCCCTCCCTGTTCTGGGGCTGGGATGTAGACGAGGATGGAGGGGGATAGTGTTGGCTGCATCAGGCTCTTATACATCTTTTCAGATGGGTTCGAATCCTGGATCCACACTGCAGTCCAAGGATCAAGGGACAAAACTGGGGACTGTCCCAAAATGTGACAATCTGGGCACAGAGTTACAGAAATAACTCTTACGGACATCCTTCCCCATTCTTCCACCACGTTTCTGGCATTTTCACTTCGTCTTAATGGGTCCTGAATCATTTTTCTCTCTCCTGGAGCAAACCACTCCCAGCCCAAACTGGCGTTGTTTTGCGGCTCTGTATATGTCTTTCAGGGCAGTGCTGGGTGGATTCAGAGATGCAGTTGGATGGCGCTGCGTCTTTCATAGGCCCATAGCAGGTTGATAACTAGGGAAAAGGCCAAGGCCTGTAACCCCCAGCCACACATCCTGGCCTGGTGTAATTAAACTCCCAGCCGGTCTAAGCTTGCCTGATAAGCTTGTGGGCAGCGCTCTCTGCTGGTGCCTTGACATTAAGACCAGTGGCGGAAAACCCTTCAAGGGACAATGCATAGTTGAGTCAAGAGGCCAGAAGATGGGTGACTGTCTTTGCTCTTCTCATTTAATAAGTTTAATAATTTTTTATTTTTATTCAATTTATTCATGCACTCACTTTCAAAAACTTGGGAAACACAGAAAAGCACCCTTATGAGCATATACCCTTAAAAAATATACTTCGTTTTAGTAGTGGAATCCCATTATCGGAGATAACCCCTCTTAACATGTTGGGAAATATCCCTCCAAGTTTTTCTATATATACTGAATAGGTAGATAGATATATAGAAAGAATGAATATATTATATAAAAATATATAATGTATATACTGGTGTATACTATATTATAATTATTATATATCCTATATAATAATTATTATTTTTATTATCATAATTACACATAATTACATATATGATATATAGATATATATTGCGATCAATGTATATCATCTCTCTCTCTATGTATTATCAATACATATATGCTGGTTAAGTGCATTTGTATCCCCATTCAGCCACAAAGAGCTTTGTGACCTTGGGCAAGTTACCTGACCTCTCTGTGCATGTTTCCTGACTTGTAAAACAGGGTTTGTGTTAATGTCTTACTTGCAGGGTTGTGTGAAGGCTAAATATGTACAACGTACATGTACCTGTGAGTACATGCACAATGATTAGAACAGTACCTGGTACATAGTAAGTGCCCAATAAATACTGACTAGGGAGGTAAGCAGAACAATTTCAGTACCACCTCCCTAAAGATGGCTATATCCTAATCTCTGGAACCTGTGGAGAGATTACCTTATATGGCAAAGGGAACTTTGTAAGTGTGATTAAATTTGAAGACCTTGGAGATTATCCTGGATTACCAAGCAAGCCCAGTGTAATCACATGAGTCCTTAAAAGCAGAAAGGGGAGAAGAAGAGTGGGTCCTGTGAGATGAGATGGAAGGAGGAACAAGAGGGATTTTCAGTGTGAGAAGGACCCAACCAGCAACGGCTGGCTTTGAAGAAGGAGAAAGGGGGACACCAGGCGAGGCATACAGCAGCCTCACAAAGCTGGGAATAGCCCCCTCCATTTTCAGCAGCAAGAACACAGGGACTTTGGTCCTACAGCTTCAAGGACTGGAACACACTGCCAACAACCCCAGTGAGCAGGAAGCAGATTCTCCCCCAGGGCCTCCAGAAAGAAACACAGCTTGCCCACCCCTTGATTTTTGTCCCGTCAGACTTGTACCAGACTTCTGATCTACAGAACTATAAGATAACACACGTGGCTTGTTTTAAGCCTCTATGTTCTTAGTGATTTGCTATGGCAGCGGTAGAAAACTAGTAATGCAAGCTTTTGATACCAGGAGGGGGCTACTGCTGAAACAAATACCAAACAGTGTGGGAGTGGCTTCGGAGAAGACTCCAGAAGAATTCTGAGGAGCATAACAAAAACAAAACGAAACAAAACAAAAAAACCTAGACTGTTTGAATAGGTTGGTGGTAGAAATATGGACATTAAAGGCTCTGCTGATGAGGACTCAGAAGCAACCTTGTTACTTGAATGGTTGTAAACAGACTATTAGTAGGGACCCGGGGCTTTAAGGATGCTGCTGGTGAGGACTCGCAAAAAACTGAGGAGCAGGCTGTTGGAAACTGGAGAAAGGGGAATTATTGCCTTATGGTGGCAGAAAGCTTAGTGCAATTATGTCCTACAGGAAGGGTGGAAAGCAGCACTTGTAGGCAATGAGCTTGAATATTTACTGGGTATTTCCAACCAAAGGTGTTGCAGGTCCAGCCTGGTATCTTCTTGCTGCTTATGGTAAAACCCAAGAGGAGAGAGATACGTTGAGGGAAGAATGGTAAACAAGAAGGAAACAGGGCTCCTGGGTGGCTCAGTTGGTTAAGCGACTGCCTTCGGCTCAGGTCATGATCCTGGAGTCCCGGGATCGAGTCCTGCATCGGGCTCCCTGCTCAGCGGGGAGTCTGCTTCTCCCTCTGACCCTCTTCCTTCTCGTGCTCTCTATCTCTCATTCTCTCTCTCTCAAATAAATAAATAGACTTTTAAAAAAAAAAAAAGAAGGAAACAGGACTTCACGAATTTGGAAATCCTCAGCCTACTCACATGGAAAAGATACTAAATTTTAAAAACTGTCAGGAAAGCGTGCTTTGAGAAAACGTCGAGGGTGTGGCTGAACAACCTTTTGCTAACACCTCAGAAAGATCCAAAGTTCTGAGTTCAACAAAAGACTCCCTGAAGAGATGAAGGGTGTGACTCATAGCTTCCCTCTGCCATCCCAGCAGAAGCCAAAGATAGAGAAGGGATTTCTCAGACAGATCTGTGGATGAGCCACTTGTCTAGCACAGTGAATCCCTCTGATACACATGACCTGGAATGTTCTGGAAGATTTTCTGCCACCTGAAACATGGCCAGCTTGGACCTGAAGGGGCAGAAACAGCATGAAATGGAGGGGGACTGTGGGACTGCTAAATTCTAGATGCAGGAAACAAGTTGATTAGAATATTCAGCTACAAACAGATAGGTGCTCCCTTTAAGGAGGAAGAAAGGGTAGCTCAGAGGGCAGAGCCTTGAGCCCAGAGGATGGAGGCATGAAAACCACAGAGGATTATCTCAGGCCTTGAGACAGAACGGCTGTTGCCCTGCTGGATTTCAAAATCGCTTGGGACCAGTCACTCTCTTGTCCTTTGTTCTTCTCCCTTTGTGAACTAGAATATCTATAACTGATATCCTATACCTGCCCTCCCGTGGTATCTTTGGAGCAGATGATTTGTTTTAGTTTCACAGGTTCACAAGTAGAGCGACTCACACCGAGTCTCACCCATACCTGGTTTAGATGATAAGACTTGGGACTTTTGAGCTGATGAGACTTTTGGACTCTGAATTGATGCTTTAATGGGATGAAACTTTGGGGGGTCTTGGAATGAGGGTGAATGAATTTAGCCCACGGGATGGATGTAAATGTTTGAGGGCCAAGGGACCGACTGGGGTAGGTGGCACAATGGCTCCCCCGAGTGTCCATGCCTTAATCCTCACCTCCTATGACTACATTACCTCACACGGCAAAAGGGACTTTGCAGATGTGATTAGATTTCAGGACCCTGAGATGGGGAGATTATCCTGGATTATCAAGGTGGGCCCGGTCTAATCACATGCATCCTTGAAAGTGGAGAATCTTTCCAGCTGCAGAGAACCAGAGAGATGGTATCTGGAGAAGGACTCCACCTGCTGTTGCTGGCTTTGACCATAGAAGAAGGATGCCATGAACCAAGGCTGCAACAGCCTCTAAAAGCTGGGAATGCCCTCGGCTTACAGCCAGCAAGAAAAAGAGGATCTTGGTCCTCTATTTGCAAGGAATTAAATTCCACCAACAATCCAAATGAGCAGGAAACAGCTTCTCTCCTGGAATCCTCAGAAAGGATCACAGCCCTGCCCACACCTCAATTCCACTATGGGGAGACCCATACCAGACTTCTGACCTACAGATCTCTGGTTTGGGTTGTTTTAAGCCATAATTGGTGACGGCTTGTTCTTTCCAGCAATAGAAAGTTCGTGCAGCTATTATTCTGAGCTTTTATTGCAGTCTGCTTTTCACTTGGCAAAATATTAGAAATGTTTTCCTGTGTCATCAAATACTCCTCCACAACGTCGTTTTGAGGGGCCTCATAGAATTCCAGTGTTGACAAATCTCCTCCTGTTGCAGGATTAGATTGCTTATGCTTTTGACTGTTAGAAATAATGGTGGTTGTTACTTTTCCGTATGCATGTTTGCATCCATCCTTGATTACTTCCTTAGGAAGTGCTGTGTAAAATATATTGGTCTTTTTCAATGAGTGTTTAATTAACAGGTGCTTATTCTCAACCGGGGCCTTCCTCCAGGACGCGGAATAGGGGGATCAGAGGGGCCTATGGATGATTCTGGTGGGTTCCTCGGAGGCAGGCAGGGTCCATTACCTTTCCACTTGGTTTCCTCAACCCTTCCGTGAGCAATAAAGCCTGCCTTGCAGACCTCGTGTAACTATTAACAGACAAGCTTTATAATAGTGCTAACGCATAAAGATGTGCCATAAAGAGGAAGCGGAGTCAAGCCATGTGTTGAGGAGACACCTGCACTCACAGGACCTCCCTGCAGATGTAGATGGAAGGGGGCTATTCAGCCCCCCAGCCTCACCGTCCAGCAACGTCTAGATAAGTCTCTGAACATGGCGGCATTTGCCTCAGACGACTCTAAGATTTGCCATTTGATGGCAGACCTGTTCCTGCCTGTGTGTATTTTGCTTCCCTTCTCCTTCCCTGGCTTCCTCATTGAGGGCCAGGCTTTCATTTGATACACAGGTGGGTTTTGAGAACAGCCAACAAGCCATGCCCTTCCCTTCAGAACATGTGACTTCATAAACTCAAGTGACTTTTCTGCCCCCAATGTGTGGATGTGGGTTCATTTCCCTTTACCTCAAAATGTCTCTGGTCTCAAGCTCTTTGTGACTTCCTAGGGGCTCATGAAAGTCAGTCAGAAATTGTAGAACATTAAACTGGACCACTATGGGTACTTTAACGTATATGGTATATGCTTTAAGGGGGGTGGTTTACCTCAAACCACTAAGCAATAAAATCAGTAACCTCATTTCATCCCAGGGTTCTAGATCTATCCATTTCCTACACCACACCCTCTCCTCCTTGTGACTGTTGCCCACCCTCTCCACTGTGGTAGGAGTAGTATCCTTGGCCTATGAAAATTGCTAAATGTCCCCCTGTATCATCCAGTGACAAGGCGAAAAAGGAGGAGAAGGAGAAAAAGGAAGAGAAAGAGAAAAACTGCTCAAAACAAGAGGAGTAAGTACTGAGAAGAGCTGCCTCCAACAAGGGGGTGCAGAGATCACAGCAGGCCTGGCCCATCCCCGGGTCCCGGGAGTCGGAGAACTGCATCGTCAGGCCTTGGCGTCGGCCCTGGAGAGGGGCTGCTTAGTGGTGTGGGAGCGGAGTTAGTCCCAGGTGGGGATCAGGCTTCCCGAGACGGTGTGAGGGGCCCGCTCCGCAGGGAGACTCCTGCCCCAGCTCTGAGCACCCAGAGGGGCTTTATAGGTTCAGAGGGCTGTCTGCAGCCTTGGGTGAGCAACTAGGGGCTGTCCCTGTGAGCCTGCTCCTGTGCACCCCCCACCCCACATTCTGTTTGTCTGTATGGTCGGGGTAAGCTGAGGCCTACTCCTGGGCACTAGGAAATACTATATTCTCAAACTTCACTCCAAACCCGGCGGTGATGTGCTTTGGGAACATTCCAAAGCCCTGTCAGTGAGCTGCTGATCTTGCACCCGCTGAGTCCAGGCAAAGGCAGAAAGACATCCCGGGGTCTCCTCCGGGGCATGGGCGCAGCTCTGCAGGCCTGGGCCAGCTTGTGGGGCATATGGGGTGGGAGAGAAGACACATGGCCCCAAAGAAAAAGAAGAATCTCCAGCACCACCTCTAAACTGTAATCCTCAGAAAATCCTGAAAATAAAAACAGAAAGCACCCTAAGCTGTTGCTTCCTTCAGTGTTGGCCCACATAACCTAGATGATTCCCAGGCTAGTTGGTTTTTGATGGAGAGACAGGATCCAAGCGCCTGGACATGAGTCTTCAGATCATCTGCCCAAATGCGATTAGCTCCCAAATGCACTGCTTCAGAACCACTGGGCAGTGTGTAAATGCACATCTCCAGCCCCAGCCCTGGAGGGTTCTGGGTGGGCCCTGGGAATCAGCGTTTTCACAGAGCTCCCCCAGATGGTTCCAACATTACCATGCTGCATTTGATTCCCAGCATGCTGAAGGACATGGGTGATACCATGGGGCACATGGGAATGTCATCACCATGATTTTATGGTCGGCTGTGGCTCCCTGAGGAGCTGAGCTAGGAAGGAAGGCCCTCCAGAGTCTGCCCTCTCCCAGCCTGTGCCCCCATGTAGGGATACCCCATGTGACTCCCCGAGACTGACAGAACGTGTCTCTTAAGTTTAGTCTGCAGTTGCCATAGGGTCTCTAAGCTAAACTGAATCTCGAAGACTGTCCAATGTTGTGATCTTTCAACACGCTGCATTGTTTGTGTGTCGATGTTTCCAGAAACAAGGACAGCGTGGTGGTGGACCCCTCCGGCAACATGTACTACCGCTGGTTGACTATCATTGCCCTGCCTGTCTTCTATAACTGGTGTCTTCTGGTGTGCAGGTAGGGGCGGGGGCAGGGTATCCACACAAGGAGCAGGTAAGGGTGGAGGGTCCAGGAAGGGTGAGGGCAGTCAGGCCTCAAGACAGAGCTCTGGGTCCCTCTCAGGAGACTGGATTTCTGGGTGCCACATGGCCACCATCCAACTGAGTGTACCCACTTCTCCATCAATAAGGAGGATCTAAAAGAGTACCATCAGAGTTCTCTGAAGCACTGATGAGGACCTGTGCTTGTTATGGACAGCGAGGGTCCTGTCGAACATTCTTAATCCAGCTGTAGGAGGAAGATGCAGGGGCGAGTAGCTACTCTTCTGAGGGGAAGTGGGTGGGGGTTGGGCATTCCTGAGCAGCCAACAGGACAAGGACACAGTTCTCTGATTGTAAGCTGTGGGTCTCCCCAAGCAAGCTGCAGTGCTGGGGGGCAAGCTGCTGCCCTTGTGAGGGCAGCCGGGGCCTTTGGGGTGCTCCTGAGAAGGCCTGCGGGACAGGGATGCAGGGCGAGGGTAGATGTGGGCTTCAGGAAGTTCCCCGCAAATGTACTTTTGAGATGCAAGACAAGCTGTTGCTCTTCTGGGGAGAGCTGGAGGCTCTGGAACTTTCCTAAGCAAGCTGTAGGAGGCGGGTGCAGGGTGAGCTGCTAACTCCTCTAATAAGGGATCAGGCGAGGGAGGGTTTAGGGTCTCCTAGGAAATCTGCTGCATGGCAATACAGGGGCAGGATGCTGCTCCTCTGAAGGTAGACTGGGGGTCTGGGCTTCCCTGAGCAAGTGTACAGGATTGGGGGGGTGCCAAGGGGCTATGTTCTCCTGAGGGCAAACAGGACCTTTGAGCATCCCTGGGCAAGCTGCAGGCCACGGAGGCAGGGCCGGCTGCTGCTGTCCGTGGACAAGCAGGGGCTGTGGGGCATTTCTGAGAAAGTCTGTAGGAGAGAGAGGTAGGGATACCTTGTCTCTCCTCTGATGGCGTTGGTGGGAGTCTGCGGCCTGAGTGAGGTGCCGGGCAAGGGTGCAGGGAGAAGAGGCTGTGTTTCCTGAGTGCTGGGCTTTGCAGCCTTCCTGCGCCAGCTCATGACACAGGCCTGCAGGGGTGAGCATGGGCCTTTCCGTGGCAGCTGAGGCTTTGGGCACTCTGGAGGGGAAGGAAGAGGCTACCCTTCTGAGGGGGCAGGAGTTTGGGGAAGTTCCTGAGCAAGCAGTTGGAGGACAGGGGGGCAAGAGGTGCTGCTCTTCTGGAAGTACGCAGGAGGCTGTGGGGCTTTTCCAAGCAAGCTTCAGGGAAGGATAGGGGGGAGCTGCTTCTCCCTGAGAGTAAGTGACGGGGTTCAGGGCCCTTCCCAGCAGGCCTACAGGACAAGGACGCGGGCTGAGCTACTGCTCTTCTGAGGGTGGATTGAGGAGGTGCGGGGAAGGCAAGGGGACTCTGCGACAATCCTGAGCAAGGCTGCAAGACAGACAGCTGCTGCTTCTTGGGGATGGGGAGGAGACATGCTACTGTCTGAGTGTAAGTGGGGGCTTTGGGGATTATCTGAGCAAGGTGGGGGTAGCTCCTGCTCTTCTGAGGGGAAGTGTGGGCGTGAGAAGGGGGAGAACTTGGGGCCGCTGCTAGCCCACCTGCAGGATGGGGATAAGTGGGCAAGCCGCTCCTGTGTGAGTGGGGGTGCTGGGGCTGCAGGGAGCCTGCCATTCTGAGGAGGCATCAGGGGGTTCAGGTTGCTGAGGAGCTGCAGGCCCCAGCTGCTGCTCTTTTGAGGTGAAGAGGGGTATTTAGGGGATATTGTCTGTATGAGAAATAGTGAGCATAAGGATCTAGGAAGCAGAAAATATTTACTGGCTTGTTCCATTGTTAATTTCTGAGAAATTCCTCTAGTTTTGTTGGCCTTTGGCCCCAGAAGGGTCAAGTGCTCTGTCTCTGCACATGACTCCACCAGTGAGGCCTAGAAGAACTGTCCCTCCTGGCATCCGGACCTTACTGTTGAGAGGCCACAGGGCTCACTGTTTGGGGCAGAAAAGCTTCTCAGAGCTGGTGTCCTCCTCAGAGCCTGGGGAGATAACGCTGGGGCACAAACCCTGCAGGCAGGGCTGATTCCAAGATGAACGCCACCGTGTTCAGTCCGGAGCCGGTGATTGCTTCGGACCAGCCCCCCGACACGCGCACTCCTTCCCTCGCTTGCTTAGGGCCTGTTTCGATGAGCTGCAGTCCGAGCACGTGATGCTGTGGCTGGTCCTGGACTACTCGGCAGATGTCCTCTATGGCTTGGATGTGCTGGTGCGAGCCCGGACAGGTGAGTGGGTCCAGGCCCAGGGACTTCTCTGGGCCAGGCCACAGGGCCCCCTCATGCATCAGGAGGGGGACCACGGGGACCACAGGGCAGGTTCAGGAGTTCCAGAATGGTGGGCATCACCTCCCCCTGACCACGAGAGCCCCCTCTACAGTGGCCCTTTAGCAGAGGTCAGGGTATCTGGGTTCTGGTCTCTGCTGTCCCAACGAGCTGTGGGACCTTGAGCAAGTCGAGTTGTCTCTCTGGGCCTCATTTGTATCACCTGTGAAATAAGGCCAAACTGTCATCTCTCAAAGGACCCCTCCTGCAGCGACAATTCAATATGGCGGGAAACAGGAGGGAGAGCTCCATCAATCTTGGAGTTCCTTTTTCTGGACAGTCGGAGGATCCAAGACATGTTACTCCGTGGTTTTAGATGTATGCAGGAATAAAATCAGAAACAGGGCCCGAGAGGAGGATGACTTCCCTCAGATCGCCTCTGGATGTGAGTGGGGGCTTAGAGCCCCCCATGTCTGAGGGTCCAAGCTGTATATCCTTGGGGCACCTTTTTCTAATCTGCACGAAGACATCACATCAGCTGGCAGGGGCCCGGCTTGTCACTTTCAAGATTTTGGAGCTGAAAGCCTTGCCATAGTTGCCAATATAAACACCACCACATCACAGCAGCAAGCCTCCCTGTGGCTTCATGGTGTACAAAGCATTTCAAGCACCTCTCGGTTTCTCATGAGACAGGAAGTGCAGGCATGAGTACCTCCGTCTTGCTGATTTAGAAACTGAGGCCCAGAGATGCTGAGTGACTGGCCCAAAGTGCCCCACTGGTACTCCCTGAATCTCCACAGTGCCCAGCATCATAAGTTAGAAGACCTCTGGGGCGCCTGGGTGGCTTAGTCAGCTAAGCATCCGACTCTTGATTTCGGCTCAGGTCATGATCTCAGGGCCTTGGGATCAAGCTCTGTCTTGCTCCCCACTCAGCAGGGAGTCTGCTTGTCTCCCTCTCCCTCTGTTGCTCGCCCTGCTCATGTGCACTCTCTCTTAAATAAATAAATCTTTTAAAAAGAAGAAGAAGACCTCAAATATGCAGCTTGAGGCTTGCACGAGTGACAGTCCTGGTGGTCTGCCACTTCGTGGTCACATAAGCCCACCTTGCCACGAGAGCTCCATGGGTGGGCCGAGTCATCGAGCCAGCTATTCCTGTTTCAACCAAGCTTCAGTGGGACAAGTCACCCCCGCTCAGACAGGGATCCCACCCCTTTCCGTGCTTTGGTACTATCGCTGGCAATCTAAGATTCAGCAGGAAGCCTCGGGGGGGAAGGCAGATAGGCACAGAAACCAAGTGGCCATGGGTCATACTTGAAAGGGAAAAAATCTCCAGAGTCAAGAGAGGACATTATTAAGGAAGTAGGGAGGAGTCCCCAGGTGCTAGGAGTGCTGTGGAGTGATCTAGGGGCTCAATAAACACAATGGTAACCAAAGAATGAAACAGAAAATTAGGGCCTGGGAGGCAGGGTGTCCCTACCATGTGATCACAAACTTGATGCTTTCTTTTCACAAAGTGGGTAGTCCTGCCTCCATCTAGCCCTCAAAGTGTGACCCTGGATCAGCAGCAGCAGCAGCATCCAGACTTGTTAGAAGTAGACCCCAGACCTCTGGAACCAGCGGTGGGGATGGCCCAGACTCTGGCTTTCACAGAACCCTCAGTATGAGTCTGATGCTTACCAAACTCTAAAAGACATTCGTCATATCATTCTCTTTACTTTTGTGCATGTTTGAAAATGTTTGGGGAAAAAAAAGAAGAAGAAGAATGCAAATCTCAGCCTACTTGACTGATTTTACCAGTAATAACACCTCATGGCTCTCCGATGTCCAGCTCAGCTCCAGACCAGTCTGATGCTGCATATGTTTTCAGAGCCCTTGGGATGACAGTAATGTGCAGCTGGAAAGGAGAGCTATTGCTTCCATAGGCAATGTTTTTAAAAAGCAGGTCATGGTCCATTGGTGGCTGGTGAAATCAGTTTGATAGGCCATGTGCTTCTACAATTTTTATCATTAATATTTTCAAACAAATACAAAATCAGAGACAGTAGTATTATGAATCCCCATGTACCTTCACCCAGCTTCAGCAGTTACCAACATTTTGCTGTTTCATCTCTTCCCCCCACACCCTTTTCTTGGCTGGAGTATTTTAAAGCCAATCTCAGACAGTAACCACTTTAACATGTATCTCTAACTTTAAATGATGCATTTTAAAAATATAATGTCCAGGGGCTCCTGGCTGGCTCAGTCAGAAGAGCATGAGGCTCTTGATCTTGGGGTCATGGTGGGTTCAAGCCCCACGTTGGGTGTAGAGATTACATAAATAAACTTAAATATATACATTTAACACATCCATTTATCTTTTAAAATTTAATAATCATTCCTTGCTATCATCTAACAGCAGTCCACATTCAAATTTAGCCAATTAATATACATTTTTAACTGAATAAAATGTCGGAATATCATAGATGAGAAAATATCAGAGTGCATTTTCATAGTAAGAGGTAAATGTGGTTTTTGAAATTGTTTCTGTCATGTATGTATAACTATGTCTTCTTTAGTTACAGCGTAAAATATTTTCCTGCGGGCCACGGTAAAAAAAAACAGCATCTTTAATGCCCAAGTGACCTCCGTCTTTTTCTTTAGGCTTCCTTGAGCAAGGCTTGATGGTCAGGGATGCCCAGAGGCTTTGGAAGAATTACACAAAGACCGTGCACTTCAAGCTGGACATGTTGTCCCTGGTCCCCACAGACCTGGCTTATTTTAAGTTCGGTATAAACTACCCAGAACTGAGGTTCAACCGCCTATTGAGGTTTGCCCGGCTCTTTGAGTTCTTCGACCGCACAGAGACAAGGACCAACTACCCCAATTTGTTCAGGATCGGGAACTTGGTCTTGTACATCCTCATTATCATCCACTGGAATGCCTGCATCTACTTTGCCATTTCCAAGTTCATTGGTTTTGGGACAGATTCCTGGGTCTATCCAAACATCTCAAACCCAGAGTATGGACGCCTTTCCAGGAAGTACATTTACAGTTTCTATTGGTCCACCTTGACCCTGACCACCATCGGGGAGACCCCACCCCCTGTGAAAGATGAGGAGTATCTGTTTGTGGTCATAGACTTCCTAGTGGGCGTCCTGATTTTTGCCACCATTGTTGGCAATGTGGGCTCCATGATCTCGAACATGAATGCTTCACGGGCCGAGTTCCAGGCCAAGATTGACTCTATTAAGCAGTACATGCAATTCCGCAAGGTGACCAAGGACTTGGAGACACGGGTGATCCGGTGGTTTGATTACCTGTGGGCCAACAAGAAGACGGTGGATGAGAAGGAGGTGCTCAAGAATCTCCCAGACAAACTGAAGGCCGAGATCGCCATCAATGTGCACCTGGACACTCTGAAGAAGGTCCGCATCTTCCAAGACTGTGAGGCAGGACTGCTGGTAGAGCTTGTGCTCAAGCTGCGGCCTGCAGTGTTCAGCCCAGGCGATTACATCTGCAAGAAGGGGGACATCGGGAGGGAGATGTACATCATCAAAGAGGGCAAGCTGGCTGTGGTGGCTGATGATGGGATCACCCAGTTCGTGGTCCTGAGTGATGGGGGTTACTTTGGGGAGATCAGCATCTTAAACATCAAGGGGAGCAAGTCAGGGAACCGCAGGACAGCCAACATCAGGAGCATCGGCTACTCAGACCTGTTCTGCCTTTCCAAGGATGATCTGATGGAGGCTCTCACCGAATACCCGGAAGCCAAGAAGGCCCTGGAGGAGAAGGGACGGCAGATCCTGTTGAAGGACAACCTGATTGATGAGGACCTGGCCAAGGCTGGAGCAGACCCCAAGGATATCGAGGAGAAAGTGGAGCACCTGGAATCCTCCCTGGACACCCTGCAGACCAGGTTTGCACGGCTCCTGGCTGAGTATAACGCCACCCAGATGAAAGTGAAGCAGCGTCTCAGTCACCTGGAAAGCCAGGTGAAGATCTGTGGGAGTGACCCTCTGTCTGACGGGGGTGCTCCTGGGGAGGCTGAGAAAACAGAGACCAAACAAGAGTGAAAGGCAGAGGTCCATGCGTGTCCTCCTTCCCAGAGTCAGCCGTTGGTGTGATGCACAGTGACCGCAGATAAATGGCCCAGGACTCGGTGAGGTTGCATTCCCGTTCTCCTTACCCTTTGTAGGCCATGTGGCCCTGGGAGAGAGCCTCAGTTTCCTCATTTAGGAAGGGGGGGCTCATCCTGTCAGCCCCAGTTAAGTGGCAGGTTATTGTGATATCCCCATGGAACACTTGCATGGGGCAGGGTTTGGTGCAGTGTGAGGTGTCCCCAGTCCACGAATACAAAAGTGTGGGCACAGAACCCTTATTTGTTGTTAATCCAGGAATTTTTAGACTTTTGAACCTTATTTTCTTGTAAATGGAAGATTATTTCGTCATCCACCCCCTCGCACGCCCCACGCCACCACCTTCTGATAAGGGAGATGTAACAGAAGCTAGAAGTGCAACGTGGGATCTCAAATTCAACCTTACACGAGACAGTTTGGGGCACATTTCTGAATCTCATTTCTCCTAGCATGCTCTTTGGGATTCTAGAAATCCTGGCCTTTGGTCATGCTGTGATAAGCATAAGGGATGAAGCCAAGTCGCCCCATTTGAGGTCACTTCGAGCCTTTGAAGCAAACCCAGACTCCCTGCCGTCCAGCCCCTGTGAAACCCCGAGAACATCTCGATGAGGGAAAGAAACATCTTCTAATTCACCAAAGGGGTTTGAAGACAGCCTCTCCCCTCATTCCTGAGTCAGGAACAGGGGCAGCCTGTTCTGGGTTGAGGGGGAGAGTTATGTTCAGGGGAGAGCTTTTCAGGTTGGAGGTGGGGGTCCTTTGTCAACCAACGCTGCCAACTAGAACTTTTAGAAGATCAGACCTTTAGGCCATATCTTTGCAAACTGCCTCTCCACTCAAAGAGGAAGCCTCACTCTCCTTTGGAATTATATCCAGTGGCAAAGCTCTCATCTAGGCGGAAGTGTGCCCAGGACAGGACCTCCCTTTTTACTTTTTTTATCCAGTAAATAGAATTCCATTACCATTGTATAAGATGTTTCTATATTTGGGCTCTATGATTATGAATTATAACCTTACGGGCCTATCATTCTCTTAAATACACATTGTAAATTACCCAAAGGTGAGTCATTCTTCTGATACAGAGAAGCCATATGTGAAGGTTTCCTTCTCTTTTCTCTTTCTCCTTCCTTTCCTCCTCCCTCTCTCCCTCCCTCCCCCACCTTCCTTCCTTCTCTCTTTCTCTTCTGTTCCAACTTCTCCTCTTCTTCTGCTTCCTCTTTCTTCTCAGAAAAAAAAGTGTCCCATTTTGCTTCAGCAACTTTGAAGTTTATAATCCATATGCTACATAACTAGGCCCTAATGTAGTTCATACAAAAGGTGCTGCATTTTCAAGTATGTATTTTGGATTTATATGGGTCTCTTCTGGTTTTTATTATGGATCATTTAGCCATTTTAACTTTCTAAAATGAATTTAAAAGGACTATTAAAGGAAGATGTGATCCAAGCTCACACCATCAACAAATTGTAACTAGCAATGTATCCTCAAAATGCATATATTTTAAAAGCCTTAACTATTAATTATATATACATTTATATTTGCACAGGAAAGAGACCTGGATTAAAAAAATATTGAATGACTCCTTCTTCATATTTTATCAAAGGGGAGATTTAGTTCTGGGGTATGTGTCTAAGGCAGTGAGTAAAACAGGCGCTGGTGAACAGGGGATAACCTGTGAAAGCCGTTGGGTGCAGAAGACATCACACTGTTTTCCTTGAGGAATAAATGAATTAGGTTTCATGTAATTAGTCTCCAGCTGCCAAGATTGTTGGGAGGTTGAGTCCCCGGCTGTCTTCAGGACTCCTATTCACTGTCTTGGAACCTGAGACAAGGTTTGTGTTCTCTCAGCCACTGTGGCTGCCCACTGGAGGCCGTCCCTCCCACTGCCCTGGGTTCAGCCACAGGGAGCCGTGCTGGGAGACAGGGAGACAGCTTCTCTTGGTGCCTTTGGTGGGAGTCTAAGCTCATGGAAGTGTGTGTGTGTGTGTGTGTGTGTGTGTGTGTGTGTGTGTGTGTGTTTCTCAGAACAGAAAGTCCCTGAGACAAGAAGGGAAGGAAATATTGGTGAGCACCCCGCAGGTGTGGATGGATGTCTGGCAGAACGCTAGGGAGCTGGGAGGTGGCAGGACTTTGGAGGAGAGCACTGGACACTCTGGCTCTGGGGAACCCAGCCCGGCAAAGACCCCAGTGCCTCAAGCTTGGAAAATACCAAAGCTGCTAGACAACAAGGAACAACACAGAGCTGGACACAGTATCTTATCAGTAACCAGTATAAAAAGTGTTTGGAAATATTTGTAAATCGATTGATTCATCAAGAGAGACGTCTGCTCCATCCCCCTGAAGCATTGGCCCTCCGAGATCTAATGGTACCAACTATCAAAGTTAAACAGGACCAGGGATCTAATATAGCTTTATCAGCAAACTCAGGTCCATCTCAGACCCTTCTTCCAGGATGTTATGAAATAGAAGCCAACGCAGTTCCCTCTTGGTCTCAGGGCCATTAGTAATACCCTGAGGAAGGGAAGATGTAATGTAATGAACAAAATGGAAAATAAAAATGCTTCTTTGAAGTGCAGGGTATGAATTTTGTCTAGTAAAGTTGAAGATTCTCATACCTGTGTCCTAGCAACCCTATCTGGCTCCATATTATAGGAAAAATTTTCAGATATGTGTACCCAGAGGCATGTACAAATGTTTATTGCAGCAATTTTTTTAATAGAAAGAAGGAAATAACCTACAGATCAGAATCTAAAAACAAATTAGGTAAATATATAAATATGTTAGGTGTTTCACCAAAGAGAATTTAATAGAGGGAATTAATCGAATGGGCGTCAGAGGGCTGAGAGAGCATAAAGGGAGCCCTGAGGTTATCCAGAGAGAGTAACTACAGAAAGCAGCTGTTACCCTTAGGGCTGGGGGAGCAAAGGAGAAGGGGTACTCAGAGGAGAGCTCCTCAGAGCTGTAACTCAGACCTCTGAAGGGGGGCTGTTGCTGGCGGTTACTGGTATTGTAGGAACTCAGAGGAGTTTGGAAAAGGTAGGACTTTGGACATTATCTGAAAAGGGGCATTGTGTGGTGGGACCGGTCCTGAGGAGTCCCAAAAGAAGTTCCCAAAGGAGGCTGGATCCAACTGCCACTGCCGGGGCCATCTGCTGCTATTCTGGCTATGTAACAGGACCCGTCCCTAACTGTTGCCGAGTAGAGTCCTAGGAAAGGGAAGACAGAGAGGAAGGAGGTCTTGGACTTCGCTGACAGAATGTCTGCCGCAGACTGGAGGCCCTACCTCAGATGTACTTAGATGAGGCGGTGAAGACCCTCTTCCCACTGACTGATGTCTGAAAGCCTACCGTCAACGGTTTTTCCTTTGTCCTGAAGCTTTTTCCTTTGGAGAATGCGGAAATCCCTGAGAAAAGGCAGGATGGGAACAAGGGAAAGGATCATTCCTCAAGCATCTCCTGTGTGAGGGCATTGCTCTTCATGCTAAAGTGTGAATTTCCTCAGTTAATAATTGCTCCTGTTGGGGGAAACTTCTTTCCTTAGACATTTACTCTTTAAATATAATCAACATCATTCATTAATTGGTTTTTTAAACGTACGCCTATTCTGTGCAAAGCAGAGTTTAAGAACAGCTTTTCTGGGGCGCCTGGGTGGCTCAGTCGGTTAAGCATCAGACTCTTGATTTCAACTCAGGTCATGATCTCAGAGTTGTGAGATCGAGCCCCGCGTGGGGCTCCCTGCTCAGCACGGTCTGCTTGTCCCTCTCCCTCTGCTCCTCCACCTGCTCTCTTTCTCTCAAATAAATAAATAAAATCTTTATAAAAAAAAAAAAGAATTGCTTTCCTAAAACTCGTCTATTAGAATGGCTAAATACAAGAAACTGGCAATGCCAAATGTTTTCAAGGTTGTGAAGCGCCACGAATTCTCATTCATTGTCTGGTAGGTATGCAAAATGGTACAGCTACTTTGGACAACAACTTGGTATATTTTATAAAGTTAAAAATACACTTAACATATGATTACAAAGAGGACACATAGGGGAAATTTTAGAGTGATGTGTGGTACTGAGGTGGTGGGTATACTGTTCGATGCATCTGTCCAAACTCAGAACTGTACATCACAAAGAGTGACCTTTAATGTATGCCAATTGTAAAGTATCAACCAGGATGTGGGACAATCCCAGGATGGAAAGATGATTGTGACAATTGAATTTAACTGCATTAAAAAATATGACATAATCTCACTAAAGGATTTAGGGTAAAATGATGACCTAAGTAATTTTTGGTCAGGATAAGTCCTCCAACTTTGTTAATCCTTTTCAAGATTGGTTTGGCTATTCTGGGTCCCCTCCATTTTCATAAAAATTTTAGATCAGCTTGTCCATTTCTGCAAAGAAGGCAGCTGGATTTTGATAGGGATTGCATTGGGTTGTAGATCCATTTGGGGAGATATCGCCATCTTATAACTACTGAGTCTTCTGATCCATAAATACCAGATGTCTTTCCATTTACTTAGGTTTTCTTTATTTCTTTGAACACTGTTTTGGATTTTCAGCCTAGAAGTCTTGGATTCTTTTGTTAAATATATTCCTAAGTGTTTTATTCCTTTTGACGCTATATTGAATGGAGTTGTTTTCTTAATTTCATTTTCAGGTTGTTCATTGCTATTTTATAAAAAAAAAAAAAAATACTGATCTTGTATCCCGCATCTTTGCTGATCTGGTTTACTCTAATTCTTTTAAATGGATTTCTTAGGCTTTTCTATATACAAGATCATGTTATTGCAAATAGAGATGGTTTTACTTTTCCTTTTCAGTGTGAATGCCTTTATTTTTTTCCTCGCTCACCTGCTCTAGCTAGTATCTCCAATAAAATGTTGCATGGACGTGGCAGGAGACATCCTTGTCTTTTTGTTCCTGGTCTTAGGAGTAAAGCACTCAGTCTTT